CTCTCCCTCTCCCTCCCCCTCTCCCTCTCCCTCTCCCTCACAGGATCTTTCTGTATAGTCCTGGCTGTTTTGGAACTCACTATGTGGACCAGACTGGCCTCAAACTCACAGATATCCACCTTCCTCTGCCTTCCAAGTGCTGGGACTAAGTGTGTGTACCATAACACCTGGCTCTTTGTATTAGTCTTTTTTTTTTAAAGATGAACATACAAAGTAATGGAACTTCACTGTGGGCTCCTCATACATACTTTTTTGAATATTTTATTTATTCTTGGACAATTTCTTACCTGTGTACTATGTATCTTGATAGTATCAGCTTAACTGGCCCTTCCCCCTCTCTTGGACCTTCCCATCTTCTTCATCTCCTCCTCCTCTTTTTCTTCTGATCAATAACTCATTGAGCCAGTTATTGCTGCTTGCGTTCAAATAGATGTGAGACCACTCACCAAAATATGGGCAATCTACCAGAGTCACAACCCCAAAGAAATATGACCCTCCCAATAGCTCTTTTGCTAACAATGGGGCCTCATGAGTTCTTCTCCCACTTGGTGTAGGAGATCCTTTTGTTTATGTGTTGCTTTCATTGGTTAATGAATAAAGAAACTGCCTTCGCCTTTTGATAGGGCAGAACTTAGGTAGGTGTGGAAAACAAAACTGAATGTTGGGAGGAAGAAAGCAGAGTCAGAGAGACACCATAATCCGCCAGAATCAGACATGCCAAATCTTTTCTGGTAAGCTACTGCCGTCTGGCGATACATTGATTAATAGAAATGGGCTAAATCAAGATGTAAGAATTGGCCAATTAGATGTAAGAGCTAATAGGCCAAGCAGTGATTTAATGAACACAGTTTCTGTGTGGTTATTTTGGTTCTAAGCTTGCTGGGTGGCTGGGACGAACAAGCGGCCCTCTACCTTATAACACCCATTCATGCCTGAATGTTGGCTGGCTTGAGCTTGTGCAGGTCTTATGCATATGAGATAAAAAACAGGATATTTCTCTTTCTAGGATACTTCACTAAGATATAATTTCCAGGTCCATCTATTTTCTGTGCATGTAATGATTTCATTTTCCTTTATGTCTCAATAAAATTTAATTGTGTATATATGTCACATTTTCATTATCTGGTCATCTTTTATGGATATTGCAGTAGTTTGAATGTACTTGGCTCCCATAGGGAGTGACACTATTAGGAGGTGTGGCTTTGTTAGAGTAGGTATGGCCTTGCCAGAGGAAATGTGTCACTGTGAGGGTAGGTTTTGAGGTCACATACGTGCTCAAGCCACACGGTGTCTCAGTTCACTTTCTGTTGCCTATGGATCAAAGATATAGAATTCTTAGCTCCATCTCTAACACCATGTCTGCCTGCACACCAACATGTCTCACCATGATGATAATGGACTGAACCTCTAAACTGTAAGCCATCCAGTTAAATGTTTTCTTTTATAAGAGTTGCCATGGTCATGGTGTCTCTTCTCAACAATGGAAAACCTGAGACAGAACTTGGTACCAGGACCTGGGGTGTTGCTGTGATGGGCCTGATCATGTTTTTGTTTGGAGGAATTTGGACTTTGGTACTTTGGATTTAGAAAACAGTGGAAAACTTTAAGCACTGCTTAATGGGCCATACTAGTAGGAACATGGAAGATGGTTCTGAGAATGATTTGAACTTTGGGGGACTGGCTCAAGAGGTTTCAGAGAAGAATATTTTAGTATGTTGCCTAGAGATCATTCTTGTGATAGTTTAATGAAGAAAGTGGCCACTTTTTGTCCTTGTCTGAAGAGTCTGCCTAAGGTCAAATAAAGAGTTTTGGATTAATTCTGCTGGCAGAGGAACTCTCAAAATATCCTAGTATAGACTCTGTCATGTGGTTATTAGTGTTAAGTCTAATGAAGATTTATAATGAAAAGGAGCAAGCTGAGGAGAAAAGGAGCACCAGGAAGGGGAACGAAGCCAAATCTTATGTTCAAGGAGATAAACAGATTAAGAAATGGACTAAAGGGAGTGATGATCCCAGGACAAGATTTCACCCAGCTAAGTTTCCACCAGAGGCAGGTGTGGTGTTGCACTCCTTTAATCCCAACACTTGGAAGGCAGAGGCTGGCAGATCTCTCAGTTTGAGGCCAGCCTGGTCTACAGAGCAAGTTCAAGAACAGCCAAACTTAGGCAGTGAAGGTAACCATCAAAACCAGAAAGCTGGTGAAGATGTAATTGAACAAGGGAAGCATATCCAAGCCCCAGCAAGCAAGAGATAGTGGTAGCTTTGACCACATGGTTCTGGCTTTAGAGTTAAGAATAAAAGAGGGGTTACGGAATTTGCCCCTATGACTAAGGGAAGCCACCAAGGCCAGGCATGTGTTGGGTGTCCATGGAGGTCTAGACAGGTTATTTTGTGAAGCTGTGAAGTTGAAGCCTGGATTGCCTTGGAAACTCCAAAATGTTGAAGATGCCAGAGCTGTGGGGTACCTGCCAAGGAAAACTGCTAACAGTGAGTGAAAACAGTCCAAGAGAAAGAAGTATGTTGCAGTCAATAAAGCTGAATCAGGTTGGAGACTGGAAGAGCGTCTTGATATAATACATGGAAATGCAGAGTATAGAATTTGCCCAGATGGGTTTTGGTCTTGCTTTGGTTCAGTATTTCCTCTCTGTGCCCTCTTCCCTACATTTTAAGATGTTAATATATATCCTGTGCCATTATAAGTTAGAAATAGGTGATCTGTTTTTGATTTTAATCTTAAATAAAATGATGGTTAAGAGATTGCATGAATCTCAGAAGAGACTTTGAACTTTGTACTTAAAACATTTTTGAGACTATGATAAACTATAGGAGCTTTTGAAGTTGAGCTAAATGCATTTTGCATTATTGTATTGTTACAAAGTTTATGAGGCCCAGGGAGTGGATTGTAATAGTTTGAATGAAATTGGTCTCCATAAACTCATAGGGATCAGCACTATTAGGAGGTGTGGCTGTTGGGAATCTCTGTTCTGGTCTCCTTCCATTCCAGACCCTGCCCCTCAGAAAGCCCACCAAGGGTCAGCTCTTCCCCAGAGCTGCTCAAGACACACCTACCGGGTACTTAAAATCTGGTTGCTAGGCCTACCATGTGATTTCTCTTCTGCCTTTTCAAGAGTTCCCCAGGAGTTGCTTTGCTCTGCTAATTAAGTCTGATCTTATTAATTTGGTTTGCTTTGGCTTATTGCATCAGCAGAGGATACCCAAAAAGCAGGGATCCAATACTTATTAGAGACTTTGTTGGAGTTAGTGTGTCCTTGTTGGAGGAAGTGTGTCGCTGTGGGGTTGGGCTTTGAGTTCTTATATATGCTCAAGCCACGCCATGTTTCAGTTTACTTCCTATTGCCTATGGATTAAAGATATAGAATTCTCAGCTCCATCTCCAACACCATGTCTGCCTGCATACCACCATGTCCCACCACGATGATAATGGACTAAACCCCTGAACTGTTAGCCCCATTGAAATGTTTTCTTTTATAAGAGTTTTCATGGTCATGGTGTCTCTTCAAAGCAGTAAGTGAGTAGTGCAGCAATAAACATAGATGTGTAAGTGTCTCAGTAGTAGGACTTGATAATCCTTTGTGCATATTCCTAGGAGTAGTATAGTTTGACCATATGTTAGTTTCATTTTTAGTTTTTGGAAAGATATAAATACTGATTTTCATAGTGGCTGCACAAGTCTGCATTCCTGCCAGTAGTAAATATGGGTTTCTATTTTCCTATGTCCTCAGCACCATTTGTTGCCTCTTGTTTTCTTGGTGATAGTTATTCTAACTGGGATAAAATACAGTCTTAATGAGTTTTAGTTTGTATTTCTGTAATGCATAAAGCTGTAAAGTAAAGCACTTTTCAAATATTTGTTGGCCATCCCAAGTGCTGGGATTAAAGGCGTGCGCCACCACCACCTGGCAATTTTCCTTTTATTAATATGTAGTTGCCTTCTTTATTTTTTCTACCTAGCTTTTCTTGAATGATAAATATCATATATGTGAGCTTCATTTAGTTATTTCTGCATGTAGTTCTGTAGTGTAAGTCTTTATATTCTCTCATGTTTAATATTCCTTGTCACTGTACAGGTTATCTTTTATTATGAGCCATTATATAAAATGAATTACTATAGTTAAGTTGTTTATGGCCGTATATGTTATTGGTGGACTTTACAGTTTATTATACTCTGGGTTAAAAGATGAGAGTATTTAGGCCATTCATGTTTTATTTGAAGCGATTTTATTAGGCTAAAATGAAATGATTGGAAAACTGAAGTGGCTTTTTAAACATAATATATTTTTGTGTTGGTAAGGATACCTGTCACCAAACCTGACCACCTGAATTCAAGCCACATAGCAGAAGGAGAGAAGGGACTCCCACAAGTTGTCCTCTGGCCTCCATGCATGTTATGCATGCACACACACATACATAATTATTTAAAATATAATTGAAAAATAAAAATGTATTTCTTACTAAATGAAAATAGTTTAAAAAGGAGTACAAGAAGAACTATTTATAAAATCTTCCAAACTGATGCATTCTTAAATGAACCTAAATATTAGTGAATGTATTAAAATTGTTTCTGTAACTCAATGCTGGATAATTCTAAGTTATTGATAAGATATCGATGTGAATTTTGAACACAAATGACCTGTAAATAATATTGTAGCTTGTGGGTCATTTGATAGACTATTCCTACTTTGTAAGTATTGAATATTTTATTTATGAAGTGTTTATGGCTGTAGTTTTCTTCTGAGGATACAATCTAGTTATACATGGTCATCAAATCCCAACCTAATGCTCTTCCGTCAACTCTGTATTCTTCATGTGCAAAGTGGTTGTTTTAATAGACTATTTACTACATTTCCATTCTCTTTCTTTTTTAATTACAATTTATGTTTTGTTAACTGAACTTTTTGTTTGTTTTACAGGGGATCTTTCCTGCAAATTACATTCATTTGAAGAAGGCAATTGTCAGTAATAGGGGGTGAGTAATTAGCCTAAATGTTAATTTATAATTATTAGAGGTTGCAGCAGAAGTGTGACTTGGTTCATAGTTTAAAAATTACTATTGGCAGGATTTTATTTTTAAAATCTGTTTCTATATAATTCTAATGTAAATTCTAATAATTCTAAATAAAAATAAATCTGCATTTATTATTATATAGAATCCCAAATTCTATTTTTAAGCATATTCTGGATAAATACCTTTAACTAAATTTTATCAGAGCAGTTTAATATATAGTGTCTTTTATAAATACATTAGGTAAGATTTTGAGAATTAATTATTTATAGACTAGGTATTAGAGATGAATTTGTCATTTCACTGTTCATCTCAAAGTGAAGGAAACTTAAAATTTTTATAAGTAGAGATTTAAAATCTAACGTATACCTTGTGGACAAAAAACATTATTATGCAAAATGAATACATTAATCACACATTTGAAAAACAAAAATTTTTGTTTTTGTTTGTTTTTGAGACAGTATCTCTCTATGTAACTGGCCTGGAATTTGCTATGTAAATCAGGGTGGTCTTAACCCACAGGACCTGCCTGTTTTTGCCTCCAGAGTGCTGGAATTAAATACATGTATTACCACAGTTAAGTGTTTTTATGGAATTCCTGAATGTATGAATGAGTGGGCCTCTGATTCTTGTGCTGTATCTTGGACTCGTTTTCTTCTGTTTATGTTGTCCAGATCTGATGTGTTTTGTTTTATCTTATTATATCTTATTTTACTATATTTTATTTTATTGTTGTCCACGAAAAGCCTGTTTGTACTGGGCGGTGGTGGCACAGGCCTTTAATCCCAGAATTCAGGAGTCAGAGTCTGGCAGATCTATGTGAGTGCCAGCCTGGTCTACAGCCCAAGTTCAAGACAGACTCCAAAGTTACAGAAGACCCTTGTCTCAAAAAACAAACAAACAAATGAAAGCCTGTTTGTTTATGAAAGGGTATGAATCTGGATGGGAGGGAGGTGGTGAAGAATTGGAAAAAGTACAAGGAGGAAGAACTGTAATCAGAATATATTATGTGAGAAAAAAACATCTATTTAAAAAATAAAAAAATTTGAATGGAATCTTAAAAGACATTTATATAATAACAACAAAAGAAAAAATTAATCTTTACAGAAAAGGGATGAGAAATAAACATAGCAAATGCTAACACTGTTGTACATATTGAGAGTGTTTTTAAAGGTATCTGTTGTTGCCATGTCCTCTTACAAAGTTATTTAATTTTTAAAAATTCAATTTAAATTAAAAATTTGATTAGTATTTGCTTCTTAACTAAGAAAGATTTGAACTGGAGAGTGCGTAGGCATTGGAGTCTGCAGTCATGGAGACATAGATACATTGTGAACGTGTGACGTGGAAGCTGATGCAGGAAATTATTTGTGCTCTTGTATAAAGGGTGAAAAACAAAAGAGGAAATACTGATATCAACCAAATAATAATAACAGTAGCTATTAGTCTACTCAAATGGCTGGGATAAGTACAATAGGATGGGGATACTAGATCCTAGGAACTGTAGGGAATGGGTCTTGAGACATTGGAGCTCAATGAGAAAGGGAGGTAACGGTGCTGCTGGTGGTGTTTATGAGTAATGTGGCAATAGGATAGACTCTGTCAGTGCCAAGGACAACTGGGTGCTAAACCTAATTTTCATTGGTAGAGAATTATTTATAGGAACAGCAAGAAACACATTTTTTCCTTTATCTCTCTAATGTCTGCAACCGGCAAAGGGAGTTGTGTATCAAAGTTCATGTACTCAGTCTTAAGATTAGTGCTCAGGAAGTTAAGTTTGGAAGTAGTAATTATTAGTAAGTTACTGGACTGACTTCCAAGGTAAGATTTGTTATTGGGGAATTATAAGAATTACAGTATTGTATAAATATGCTATTAAAATAATTCTTTATTGCCCCCTCCATTTTTCTTTGTGTATTGGGAAGTAAACCCAGATCCCAGGGTGTGATAAATATTGTACCATTGAGCCACATCCAGAGTCTGTGTCATGGTTTTTATTCTTCTCTCTTTTTAATGAAATGAACATACACTAGTATGTATGTGTGTAAACTTGAAAATCCTAATTTACAGAACTGTTGCAAGACATAACCTGCCACTTCAATTTTTAAGTAAGGACTATCAAAATATAAACACTATTTAAAAATTATATAAGGACAAAGTGTATCTAGACTTACAATGGGTAATGTATAGATCTTAGAAGTTACAAAAATATATTTTCCAAGTTCAAATGGTCTGTTGCAAAACATAAAATTGTTATTCTTGATCTATAGCATTATAATTTATAACAAGCTGAAATTGTGCAGAAGGACCATGGGAGTGAGGTATGGAAGGACTTACAAAGAATATGTAGTGACAGAAATAGAGTGTCTCAGAGTAGACTAGCAAGACTATCCTCATGATAAGTGACCTACCTTGAGTTCAGGAACCTTGTGTCTTATTCTTAATAACTGTGAAGGCTTGGGAGTCAACTTGGTAGTGGAAAAATCCACACCTGAATTCTGTTTGCTTAGGGAAAGCAGAAGGGCTGTTTGCTAGAAACAGTCATATTTGTTAGATATACTCTTTCTCTGTGGGAGCATAGCACAAAAGTCTTTGGATATAAATCATAGAAAGCTACATAGAATTAACTGTTGTATCTAGACATCTAGCAGGGTCGTTATAAAGAATAGAAGATATAAAACCCAGATAAAGTATGGAAAAAACACTGCCTGCAGGCACTGAAGAACAGCTGACATAGACAGGATCTTTAAAGGTTCCTTTGCTTTTTTATTTTTTATTTTTTTGAGATGGGGTCTTTCTAGCCCTGACTGGCTCTGTTTTCTTTTGGCAAGGATCTCTAAAGGTGATGGTCCACGAAGGAACAGATGTACATGGGAAGAACTTTATGTTTATTTTGGCTTTTTTTCCTCAGAAATTTTCATTTTGTCATCATGTGGTGGAACAGAGCCCAGGAAGACAATGGTAGGCTGGTTTTTTTTTTTTTTTTTTTTTTTTTTTTTTTTTTTTTTTTTTTTTTTTTTTTTTTTTTTTTTTTGTGATGTTTG